GTCTGCTAGGAGGGGTCCTGACCCTCTGGACCCCACACACCCTTTCCCTGCCTCTGCTCCTCACCTTCAAGGCTGCTCAGACGTTAGAGTTCTGAGACGGGCCAGCTGTGTCCTGTTGTGATTTCTAATCTAAGCTGCTGAGCGGCCTCAGTTTGCCCATCTGTAGAATAGGCTGCCAGATTTTAAGGAACTCTCCAGCCCAGGAATCTCTGAGCTCTGTGCCTGACATGTTGGGGTGCTCTTTCCCTCGGCTCCCCAGTTGTCTCACCTCCCTGGCGCGCCTCTCCCCCCGCCCCCCCCCCCCAGTCTGTTCTCAGGGCCCCTGTGGGACCAGGGAGGCCTGACTGGCTCTCAGAGGGAGCCCGTCAGGCAGTGCTCTGGTGGCCTGAACGACCTTCCCCCAGAAGCCGGTTCGAATCCTGGGTCAGACAGGTGCTTACGTCCTGAGTGACTGAGCAAGGCCCTCCCCTCCCCGTGTCTCAGCCCAGTTCCCCCCCCCCCCCCCATGAGCCAGGGCTTGTCATAGCCTCCAGCTCAGGGGCCTGCCGGGCTCAGATGAGAATGGAGGCTGAGCAGGAAGCTCTGGCCAAATAGGTGAGGGTTTACCGGCCCTCACTCTCCGTCACACTTCACAGCAGGTCTCACCCTCCCCGAGGGCTGCCCTGGCCACCAGGCCACACCGCGGTGACATTACGGCCGTGCCCGCGGCACAGGCTTCTGGAAGGGTTAAGGAGGCAGAGACTGGCAGCCTCGCACAGTGCGGGTGAAGGGGGCGCAGGCACGGGAGCTTGTCCTCGGGGATGCGTCTGTGTTAGGTGACAGTCTGAGGCCCAGAGAGCACAGGCTGCTTGCCCAGGGCCTCCCAGGTTCTGACACCCTAGTCCCCCGCTCCCCCACCCTCACAGCGTCTGCACACCTGTCTCACCTCCCCCCTCCCCCCTTCCCCCCCCCACCCCCGCCTACGAGAGCTACTCAAACAGGGGATGAACCATGGTGAGAGCCTCTTTTAGATTTTATTTTTTTAAATATATTTTATCGATTTTTTATAGAGAGGAAGGGAGAGGGATAGAGAGCTAGAAACATCGATGAGAGAGAAACATCAATTAGCGGCCTCCTGCATGCCTCCCACTGGAGATGTGCCCACAACTAGGGTACATGCCCTTGATCGGAATTGAACCCGGGACCCTTCAGTCGCAGGCGGACTCTCTATCCACTGAGCCACACGGGTTTCGGCTCCTCTTTTAGATTTTTTTTTTTTAAGAGTGCTTTTTTATTTTATTTATTTATATTTTATTTTTTACAGAGAGGAGGAGAGAGAGATAGAGAGCTAGAAACGTCAATGAGAGAGAATCATCGACCAGCTGCCTCTTGCACACCCCCTACCAGGGATGTGCCCGCAACCAATGTATTATACATGCCCCTGACCGGAATCGAACCCGGGACCCTTCAGTCGCAGGCGGACTCTCTATCCACTGAGCCAAACCGGTTTTGGCTCCTCTTTTAGATTTGATCCTCCTCGGAACAGGCCCTTAAAGGGGCATTGTCCTCTCCCTTTGCCTGTGAGGGAACCAGCTGGAGAGGGGAGGTGCGCTGCCCAGAGTCACATAAGGTTAGCTGGCAGAGAAGGGACTCTTCCCTGGGGTGCCTTTTGCTTCCCCCTCCCCCTTCCCAGCCTCCCCTCTCCTCTCCGGCACAGGACCCCCTCACAGGAGGTGAGCTCCCCCCTCCCAGCCTCCCCTCTCCGACACAGGACCCCCTCACAGGAGGTGAGCTCCCCCCACTCCCAGCCTCCCCTCTCCGGCACAGGACCCCCTCACAGGAGGTGAGCTCCCCCCCCCTCCCCTCACCGGCACAGGACCCCCTCACAGGAGGTGAGCCCCCCCCCCCTCCCCTCACCGGCACAGGACCCCCTCACAGGAGGTGAGCTCCCCCCTCCCAGCCTCCCCTCTCCGACACAGGACCCCCTCACAGGAGGTGAACTCCCCCCCCCTCCCCTCTCCGGCACAGGACCCCCTCACAGGAGGTGAGCTCCCCCCTCCCAGCCTCCCCTCACCGGCACAGAACCCCCTCACAGGAGGTGAGCTCCCCCCTCCCAGCCTCCCCTCTCCGACACAGGACCCCCTCACAGGAGGTGAACTCCCCCCCCCTCCCCTCTCCGGCACAGGACCCCCTCACAGGAGGTGAGCTCCCCCCTCCTCCCCTCACCGGCACAGGACCCCCTCACAGGAGGTGAGCTCCCCCCTCCCAGCCTCCCCTCTCCGACACAGGACCCCCTCACAGGAGGTGAGCTCCCCCCCCTCCCCTCTCCGGCACAGGACCCCCTCACAGGAGGTGAGCTCCCCCCTCCCAGCCTCCCCTCACCGGCACAGAACCCCCTCACAGGAGGTGAGCTCCCCCCTCCCAGCCTCCCCTCTCCGACACAGGACCCCCTCACAGGAGGTGAGCTCCCCCCCCTCCCCTCTCCGGCACAGGACCCCCTCACAGGAGGTGAGCTCCCCCCCCTCCCCTCTCCGGCACAGGACCCCCTCACAGGAGGTGAGCAATGGGAGCCAGGCTGCGCCCCAGCCTCAGCAAGGTCACCCCCAGATATTTCTTCTCAGCTCCCGGGACCTCACAGCCACCAGCTTCCCCGTCCCTTCTCCCCAGAGTCCCAGCCCTCCAGTCCCCGCCCTTCTTTAAACCAGTGCCCAGGCCTTAATGTTCGGAACCCCTGCTCTGGGTCTCCAGCACCCTCTCCATCTCCCCCTTCTACCTGCCCCTCCTCTTCCACCTGCGCCCACACTCAGGGCCGGCGCCAGGCCAGGCCTGCGCTCGCCTGCACTCTCCTGCTCTCCCTCCGTGGGAAGGTGCTCTGGGCACCGGGCACACGTCTGTGCAGAACCAGCGTTCAGACGGCGAGTGTCCCCGTGGTTCACACACCCAGACTCAGTCCCCGGACTGTCCGGGCTGCAGCCTGTGCGCGCAGCTGGGTGTGAGGGAGCGGGCATGGGGCGGGACGCCCTGCGGAGGTGGGCACCGCAGGGAAGGGAGGACGGAGAAGGGCTGGTCACTTTTCTGAGCAGCTGCTGTGAGCTCTGCCTGCTTGTGCATCTGGGTCACCAGATCCGCTCCTTTGAGGGAGGGGCTGTTAGGCCCCGTTTCACAGACGGGTTAAGTCAAACACTTGCTCAGGGTCCTGCAGTTTCTCGGTGCTTTTGAGCCCAGGTTGGCCTGACTCCAAACTCCCTTAACAAGAACCAAATCTGTGCCCAGTGCCGGGTGAATGAGTGAGGGGTGAGGAATGACTTCGGGGGGGGGGGGGTGTCAGGAGACCTTCCCCGGTGAGGTGGCCTGGAGGCTGGACCAGACAAGAGCAGGAATCTCTGGGCAGAGCGGAGGAAGGGCTTTCGGTCGGGAAGAACAGCAGGTGCACAGGCAGAGAGGTGTGGAAGCATCTGGTGTGTTCTGGAATCGGTGGGAATCAGGGTGTATGTGTAGGTATAGCGGGGTGCGGTAAAGCGGGGCCCGGCTGTGCATCACCCCCAAAGTGGGGACCAGATCCTTTCGGTGGGGAGTCTGGGGGCAGGGGGGGCGGTCACGGCGGTTCACGTGGTGTGGCTCCTGAGCTGGTGGCATCTTCCGGGGCCAGCTGGAAGGAGTGGGAGCTTTTGTATTCAATAAGTTCTCAGTCTGACTTCGGGGTGCCTCAGTCTCTCCTTCTCTTAACTGGGGGTAGTCAGAGATGGCCAGGCTCCTGGAAGTCCCTCCTGGTGTCCTCTCATCCACTGCCCCGAGGAGCACTTCCCACCTGCGTCCTGGAGCGTGAAGTGAGGTGGCAGAATGGCCAGGGGAGTGGCTGGCTCCCCAGGGGCAGGGGTGCTGGGGACTCCCCCCCCCCCCGCCCCAGTCCAGAGTGTGTGAAACCCAGACCTGTGGCACAATCAGGACACGACCCTCCCACAGAAAAACACTTTGAAGTAACGGGACGCAGAGAACCAGAGCCTGGGGGTTGGGCCATCTCTGCCTCTCTGGGTGACTCTGGCAGGCTTGTGACCCTCGGGACTCAGTCTCCCAGCCTGTAAAATGGGGCGGTGCTGCCCTCGGTGACTGTGAGGGCCTCTCCAGCAGGAGCGGGGTGCACAGGGCCCCTCACTGCGGGTCCTTCAGGAGGGGAAGGGGGCCGCCCGGAGCCAGGGACCCCAGGACCAGCCCTGTCCCGGGACCCCAGGACCAGCCCTGTCCCACCCCCGCCCCTCCCTCCCGGCACAGGGACCCTTTCCACCTGCCGGGGGGCTGGAAGACCCGGAGCGGATTCTCCGAATGGGCTCTGGGAGGAGCGCTCCTGGAGGCAGGAGGAAAACCCGGACCGGATCTGGGGCCGGAGCGGGGCCACGCAGCCCCCAGCCCCGCGCGCCGGGCGGTGGGAGAGGGTTTGATGCCCCCTCTCCCCCCGGAGGGGAAGGGCGGGCCGGGCCGCGGGCCGTCGGGCTCCCGAGCTGGCAGGTGGCGGCGGCGGTGCAGCCCCCGCAGCAGCGGGTGCGGGTCACGTGCGAGGAGGGGAAAGTCTCGCAAACGGGGCGGCGTGAGCGAGTTGGAGTTCTCGGCGCCGCGGGCGGGCGGGCGGGCGGCGGCGGAGCTCGGGCTCCCGGGCGGCGGGCGAGCCTGGGTCCGAGCCGGCGGGGCTGAGCGTGCCAGGGGGAGAGAGGGACAGGACGGGGCGGGAGCAGACGGAGACGCGCAGAGGGGAGGCGAGCGCAGAGGGGGAGGCGGGGGGAGGCGAGGAGGACGCGGGACGGAGCAGACCCGCGGGGAGAGACGGCGCGGGAGACAGAGACAGAGAGACCGGGGCGGAGAGACGGGGCGGAGGGCGGGGACGGGCCGGGGCAGGTGGCAGCACGGCCGTGCGCCCGGAGGTCTGGGCGGGAGGCAGGCAGCGGGGCAGGGTGAGCGCGGGGCGGGGCACCCCGTGGCAGCCCGGGAGCCGCAGGGAGGCGCCGGCGGGCGGGGGGGGCGGGAGCCATGGCCCCCGGAGCCCCGCGCTGAGCCGGCCTGGGCCCCGCGATGCTGACGCCCCGGCGGCGCGGAGGGCGCGCAGGGCAGCGCTGAAAGTTGGCGGCGGCAGCGAGCGCAGGACGCAGGAGACTCAGGGACCGAACCCCCGACGCCTGGGAGGGGCCGGGCCGGCCGCCAGGTTCAGGGAGAGGGCGCCGGGACCCCCTCTCCCCGCCGGGACGCCGCCGTGGGATGTAGAGCCGGCCGCAGCCGCGGACCCCCTCGGACCCTGCCCCGCGGTAAGCCTGGCCCCGCAGTCCCTGTCTGTCCCGCGCGGTGGGTCTGTGTCCTGGGCCGGCTGCTTGGCCCGGGGCGCCCGGGACCTTATCCACCAGCGGACCCGGTCCCTGCGCCTTCCCGGGAGCTGGCGAGCTCTGCCCCTCTGTCTGCCGGCAGTGGCCAGTGGCGAGGTCTGGGGGGGATGCCAGGGACGGGGGAGCGGTGGGCTGAGCTGGCCTTGGCCTCCTGCCCCGGTCACGACCTTTCCCTGCCTCCGCCCACCCCCAGTTGCTCCAGAGGAGCTTCAGGCAGGTGACTGTGGCAGGGGGGCGGAGAGCTCCGTTCCCATCCCCAGCGCAGCCGGTTTGCCAAGGGCCCTTCCCTCTGACCGGGAACAGAGTCCCGCTTCCAGGGCTGAGCCCTGCCTGCCCAGGGTGCGGGGTCAGGGACCCCGTGAATGAGGCATTTCACACCTCCCAGGTCTGAGGCCCCCCGTGGGGAGGGACACGGCTGCTCTCCCCTCCCCGGAGGGAGAACCGGAGCGGAGAGAGGGCTGGATGAGCCCCAGAGCAGGGAGACTTCCCCTGCAACATGCTGCGTCTCCCCCATAGCAGCACCCACGTCCGCCTGGGTGCCCAGGCCCCCGGGGGGGGGGGTGCGGGGGGGGGGGGGGGAGACAGCACGCAGGCCTGTGGCGCAGGGGCCGGAGGCAGGTGGGGCCTCCGGAGCAGCAGGATGCTGAGCAGCAGGTGGAAGGGAAAGGCAGTTTGGGGAGGGAGGTCACACGGCAGGGCCCAGAGGGAAGCCATACCCTGACTGTGTGCGTGCATGTGTGTGCACACGCATGTAAAATGTCTACCCCGCTTCTCCTGCACACCCAGTTTTGCGATCTCCAGAGCGTGAGGGCTCTGGGGGCCTGTAGCCAGGACGTTGGGGGCCTGAGAACCACAGGATGGCCCTGGCTTGGACTGAGATGAAGGGAGCAGAAGGCTGACAGGAGCCGTGGGATAAAGGCTGGGATGCCACCTGACAGGAGCAAAGGCTGCTGGCCATGGAGCCGACCCTCCGTATTCACACCGGAGCCGGAGGACTGAGCCTAGAACCTTCGGCTCTGTTTTCCCCTGGGAGGAGGGGCGCTCTCGGGGGCTTCCTCCGCCGGGCAGTGGGCCTGCGTGTCCTCCAGTCAGGCTCCTGGAAGCCAGCTTAGCTCGGGGAACCAGCTCCCTGGACAAGTCACTTGTTCCCTGACCCTCGACACCGCTCCTGCCTCTGACCCCCGAGGAGGGCCCTGGGCTCCAGTGAGCCGAGGGCAGCTCAGGGGCTGCGGACGGGGCTGGGCAAGTGGGAGTTAGGATTCCTTTTACCTTTGGGAAAGTGCACAGCTAATGGGGAGGGGGAAATATGGCTGAAAATGGAGGGCTGACCGGGGAGAGGAGGGTCCAGGAATTAGAGGGAAGATCTGGGTTTTGGGATCCCTTGGGTTACCCTTGAAAAAGAAGCTCCTCTCCCAGAAAAACAAACAAACCAGCAAACAAACAAAACACCTTTGGTGCCACTGGGAACAGACAGCCTTGAGTTTCTGCTGGGTGACCTTGGGTCGCCGTCTTGACCTCTCTGAGCCTCAGTTTCTTCAACCGGAGAATGGGGATGATGGTAGTGGCTCCAGTGGGTTGCTGAGTGACTTACAGACCGTGCCGTGTCTCCGAAGGCAGCTCGCACGAGCCTGGGGCACAGTAGGTTCTTAACAGACATTCGTGGAGGAGAGCGAAGTAGCGGCAGGAGATGCCGTGAAAAGATTTCTTCGCTTCGGGGAAGAGGGAAGGGGAGGAGGCACCGTGTAGGCTTGCAGGGCGGGCTGGTTCTTAATGTGGATCTGGGGGAGGCGGGGGCGAGCGTTGAGGGGGGGTGAGGAGGAGGAGGGGGCCCCTCTGCAGGGACCACTGAGTCACGAGAACATGTAAGCGACATGACAACCGGCAACATGGTAACCAAGAGACGGGCGGCGGCGACGGGAAGCGGAGCTGGAGCGTGTGCCGGGCGGGGAGGCTCGGGGCCGGCAGCACCGGCGCCGGAGGGGCCAGGAGAGCCAGGCCGGCCGCTCAGGGTCCGGAGGGGAGGCCTCCGGGGCAGGTGGGCAGGCGGACGGGCGCCTCCGGGGTCTGCGGGGCAGGGGGGCTTCTGCCCCTCCCCAGGCTCCTCGCTCCTCTCCTCCACGTCTCCACTTTCCGTGCCTCTCCCCCCAGGATGCCAAATTTGGCTCACGCAATCTGTCGTCTCCCTGAGATTGGCACCCGGACGGGAGCTGAGCGCATTACATCACTGCAGCTCCCCCTGCACAGGGAGAGGAGAGGGGGGCCGCGGTGAACCCGCAACGTGCCCCCCCGACTTCTGCTTACCCTCCTGCCTCAGGCCCAGGTGGGGGCTTCTGGGAGCAGCGAGGGCAGCCTGGAGGCGGCAAGGGCTCTGAGTTAGGGAGACCCCAGGTCAGGGCAGGAGGTCGGACCATGCTGCTGGCCCCGGGCGAGGGGGCCTGGGAAGCCGGAGCCTCGTTCAGGACCCCGTGTGACCTTGGGCAGGGCTCGCCCCGCCCCGTGCAGAGTCTGCATCTGTACGGGGAGCAGCTGGCCACTCAGCCCGGTGCCTCTCCTGCGAGAAGACGCCCTTGAGCTCTGCTGCTCTGGGCACAGAGGCCTCAGTGGGAACTGCTCTCTGTGACTTTCCCTCCGTGTGCCTCCATCTCTCCGCCTGTGAAATGGGGACAGCAGAACCCGCAAAGGCACTAGATGTGAAAGAGGGGTACGAGGAGGAGAGAGAGCGTCTCTGGCCCCAAAACCACAGACGCTCAGAGGCCCTGAGCTCCTGGGGGCAGGGGGACAGTGTCTCCCTTCAGACACCAGGCTTGGCGCTTCAAGTCACTATTCCGGCGCACCCCCCCCCCCCCCCCCTTCACAGAACCGGGAATCGAGGCCCAGAGAGGGAAGTGGAGCCCCCCAAGGCACAGGGATGGTTCAGGGGTGGAAGAAGCGTAACTGGGGCCTGAACTTGGGGCTCCCGGCTCCCAGTCCTGCTTGGAGACAGGCAGGCAGATGCCCAACCCCAGGGAGCAGAGTGGCGACCCAGACTGGACCCAGGGGCTGTGAGGGCCCAGCCCCACCGTGGCTCCCTTCCTCTCTCTGGCCCACCTCCACCAGCCCTAGGCTTATCCCCCCCCCTCGGGTGATCCATTTGTAAAGCTCCCTCTCAGGGTCATTTAGAAGCCGGTTTCAGGCTGCCTGGGGTGAAGCTGAAAGGTCGTGGCTCCTCTGGAAGATTCCAGAGGGCCAGAGGAGGAGGCTGGGCAGCGTCTGAGGGTGCTGTGTGAAGTAGTGAGCTCCCCATCCCCCCTGCCGGAGCTATTGAAGCAGACCCAGATGGGGATGTGCCAGGGATCCTGACCCGGTGACCCCGGCCCTGGATGAGGTTGAATGACATCGCCACCTCCGAAATCCCAGGGGTCTTTGCTCTCCCCGGGGAGGTTCTGGGAAGCAGCTCCATCAGTTACCTGTTTCCCAGCACGGAAACGCGTTGTCGCCAGGAGCTCGTCCTGAGTGTCCAGCATCCCCACAGTGTCCAGTGGATGTCCCGGTGCCGCAGATGGGGGAGCCACGGCTCAGAGAGTCTGTGTCACTTGCCCAAGGTCACACAGCAGGGAAGCGGAGGAGCCCGGGTTTGAGTGCAGGCCAGTCTGGGGAGCGTGAAGAACGTCCCTCCCCGGGCCTGGATCTTGGCAGGAGATGGCCTGTCGCCCCCATCGCGTGACACCCCCTCAAGGACTGTCTGGGGCTCCATCCTGAGCACACCCGAGGGAGAGCTCATTCTGCAAACGGGAAGCCTGGGGTCCAGAAACCGTGGATGACCGGCCCCAAGAGCACCCAGAGCGTTGAGTTTGGGCCGGGGCTCTGTCCCCTGCCCCAGTGGGTGAGGAGGGCCTGTGGCTGATGGTGGTGTGCGGTCTGAGGTTGGGGTGCAGGTTTCAGGGTAGTCTGGCCCGGGGCCGAGAGGCGAGGACTGCAGGGAGGGGATGGAGCCTGGAGAACAAGAAGGGGAACCAGCAGGGACGGCAGGTTCACCTTTGTCCTCCCAGGTCCTGCCCAGAGCCGCCCTCAGAGGTCCGTGCCCCTCAGCCCGTGAAGTCAGGGAAACGGGGGTGGGGGTGGGGTAGGGGGCCTGCCAGAGAGGGTCTCAGAGCCGGCAGCCTAGGGTGTGGTTCCTGTGTGACCTTAGGTCAACTCCCTGCCCTTTCTAGCTCGGTCTGCCCATCCGTGCAGCCGAGAACGGGCTTGATGAGTTATTTCCACCAAGTAGCCACCGCTGGGCTGCCATCCCAGCGTGCTGGGCCCGCCCCCCCTGGGGACCCTGGGCCCTGGGCCCTGGGCTGGGGGCAGGAACTGGGGGGGGGGGCAGGTATCACCTTGCAGCTTCCTCAGCCCCGCAGCCCTCCTTGGGGTTTGGGGGGGACCTCCAGGCCCAGCCCTTCTCCTTTTCATCTTTATTCTCCTCCTGCTCCCTCTCCCCCTGGCTACGTGGGCTGATGGCTGCTCAAACTTTTAATTCAGATGGTAATTGGAATAATAATATGGGCTGAGGCCCCTCTGCTTGTGACGACGCAGCTGGTGCAGCGCAGCTATGAATAGACCTGAGTCACACGCGCGCGCTCGCTCCTGAGGCGCGCACACGCTCCCTCCGGGGGGTGGGGGTGGGTGGGGTACAGCGGGGGCGGGGGCAGGGGGCTCACACTCCAAGCTGCTTGGGGACTCAGCCCCCCAACTCCCAAAGCCTGGGGCAGGGCCACCCGTGGCCACTGTCGGTCCCTGTGGCAGCGGAAAGGCTTGGGGCCTCGGCCGTTGAGGATGGACAGGGCCAGCCAGGGGAGGGGCCGGCCGGGCACACGCAGAGAGGGGCTGGGCTGGGTTTTGCCTGGCCCTCAGACCACTGTTCTCCCGGGACACACAGGCCAGGCCGACGGACGGGAGGAATGCTG